TGCTCTGGGGTGACCGGAGCACCAGATGCCGCGCAAGAGCTCAACTTAGGAGCCGATACAGTCAAGTTTGTCAACGTCCCCATGGACATCGTCTACAAGTACTACTTCAGAGCCAAGCGCAGTGTGGCAGGTTTGCCTACATCACAGCGCATGCAATGGCTCCAGGCCAAAGACGTGGAGGAACGCAGTGAGTGGGTGTCCAAATTTCGTGAGTCTACGATGAGCTTGGGACAGGTGATCAGCGAGATCTACACGTCCAGGGACGCACATTGGTCTGCACCAGGGCCTGCTACCCCGGACAGGAAGAGTGCAGCCCCCACCGCAGCCTCTACTGCAAGTCCATCTAAGGTGCCGCCAAGCACATCACCCTTGAAGTTGGGCAAGCCGATCAATGGCAAACCCGTGGCGACGGCAATGAAGGATGGTACCAAACTTTGCCCGCAATTTCAACGAGGCGGCTGCAAGGCCAAACCATGTCCTCAGGGAGCCCATCGATGCGGAGCAGTTGTCAGGAAAGATCGGGTATGTGGAGCGTTCAACCACGGTGCAGCCAATTGCACTGGTAAGCGTTGACACGCCCCAGAAGAGGAGGCGGCTGCCTCTTTTGGGTCAGATGAGCTAGAGCCGCAAGAGGGGCGACCTCTTATGGCAGATCTCATGGCAGGTCCCAACGCACCCCTCACCAAAGCATTCATCAGTTGCGGGTGGCAATGCATTACAGTGGATTGGTTGTTGGATGACAGCCATGACCTGTCAGATGAGCGCCGGCAACACTCCCTGAGCAAACAGCTTGAAGAGGTGATCTTCATAGCGGCAGCTATCGACTGTTCGACAAAGAGCAGGGCCAGGGAGATCCCCAGGAAGTTTGAAGACGGGCGGCCAGCCCCTGGTCCTCTTCGATCCGAGGTCTACCCTGATGGCCTGCCTCACCTCAACAGCCGGGATGCCCAAAGAGTCGACCTTGACAACAAAGCCTGCAACTATGTCTTGGGAGAAATTCAGAAGTTGCGGGATAGGGGGGGAGGCAGTGTGCGTGAAAACCCTGCCCGCTCCTTGCACTGGTGGACGTCCACAGAGGTGACTATGTGGGAATCGGGACAATGGTTCGACACAGCCTACGCGGCATGTACTTTGGGTGGGGCGCGTTGCAAGCATCAAGTGCTACGACACAATGTGGAGGAGATCCAACGCTGGCCCCCAGCCAATTGCCACCATGTGCACGACCCACAGGAATGGACCCCCTACACCTCCGACGGCCAGCGGTTCTACCATCCAAAGAAGAGGCAGAGTACACAGCAGTCCTTGCCTTTGCCATTGCAGTGTCGGCTAGTTGGTGGGCAGTCCGCACAGGTCTAGCCGTCCTGCATGTCCCACGCATGCCCACGTTCATGTCAGTCGGACGCCGTGAACATTGGCTGGATATGGACCCGCGCGCAATGCGGGAGTGGGCAATGGCACCACTGGCGGTGACGCTGGGCCTCACAGAATCCTTGAGGGCTGAACGATCGGGGTTACCGGTCCGAAGGCTCGTCAAGGAGGTGATGATCGAGAACAACAAGCTACCACGCAAGACCATCTACGTCGGCCGAGGCAGCTTTCATCATCGCCTATCGACGACCAAGTGGAAATCGCCATGGACACCGGGCCACAACTGCGAAGCCGGTGAATGGCCGGCCAGGTACATTGTCCATATTCGAACATCACCTTTGTGGGACGCCTTGCATGAGCTTAGCAATATGGAGCTGGCGTGCGACTGCCCCATGGAGCACCTGTGCGAAGCGGACATGCTCATTGGCCTCTTCTTCGATGCCACCGCCCCTGGGGGTGACCCAATGCAGCGGGGCACCGATGGCCGATGGAGTAGGACTGTGGCATTGTTGCAAGGGATCCAGGCTATTCCCAGGGGGGTAGCCCTACCCATGATGAGCCAAGAAGCACTGGTATTGGCATTCCAAAAGCTTTTCCCCGAGCACTGGTTCAAGAACTACAAGTTTGCAATGATTGAAGACCTCATCAACAGCCCGCCCTTCTGCTCATATGCCACTTGGCTTGCAGAGCGAGGAGAAGCTTGGGACGGGCCCCTAGTCCCGCATCTGGCTGCCGGGTCAGTGAGGCAGCTTGCACGGATTGGGGACGGGTGCCAAGTGGGTGCGATGACACACCGTGCCGCTTTGCCCCCACTGCTGCCGTTCAACTTGGATCCTGAGGACCACTTCAACCAAGCAGTCCAACGAGCCCAGCACCCGTTGCCCTACGAAGACCTCCCAGTCGTCGACTTAGACCTGGAGTTCGTAGCAGATGCCTATGTGGCACATGGCCAGCAGTTGCGCCCGTGGCGACAGCAGGCAGTCGGGGCCATGCGAGAGCTGAAGAGACGCTGGGAGGGGGTGACCCTCCACTTGCGATCCTTCCAAGAGCCGGCCGTCCAGCAGGTAACACGGCACCGCGATGTGGGGCTCATCGCGTTGCTGATGCTGCTGACATCATGGGCAGACACCAGCTTTCCCTATGGTCTGATCCGTGGGCTGCCTGCAGTGGGCTACGCACCACCTTATGGGATATTCCCCCAACAGCCAGCTGAGGTGATCAGCATGGCAGATGTGTTGGAGGGATGGCAGGAACACAATCAGCACATCTTGGGCCAGCTGAGAGCAGGCAAGGATGATGAGTTCCTCCTGCAGCAGTCATTGGAGGACGCAGCGAATGGTTTCTGCACAGAGCCCTTGCGACGGACAGATTTCCTGCGGGCCATTGGCAACAAGGCCCATCGATTGATCCCGCGTTGCGTGATCACACAGAGCTCAGGCAAGCAGCGTGTGATCGACAATGGGGACACCGGAGGACAATCAGCCTTGTCGTCTGATGCTAACAAGCTCACATTGTGCAGTCCATTGCGTCCTGCCCAGCACATTCGCCTTGCAATGCATCGTTGGACAGAGGATGAGATGGCCGATTTCTTCGCGAACGATGCCTGGGAAACAGGACAAGAAGATCTGCCTTCAGCATACAGGTATTGCCCTATGGCATTGCAGGAAAGTCTGGGCTGCGTGGTGGTGTGGTACCATCACGAATGGCAAACCCCTGCATACCAAGTCTACGCTGGGCTACTCTTCGGACTGCCGCTGGCGGTTACATCATTCAACCGTTTTTCCAGACTATTAGAGGCACTAGCCAGGCGTTTTTGCCGAGTTTTGACATCCCTGTACTTTGATGATGCGACCATTACAGACTTGCAATCCTCAAAAGGGTCAGGCCAATGGGCCATGAATCAATTGTGTTCTCTTATCGGCTCCCCCTTCGCAGAGGACAAGAAACAACCAATGCAGAGCACCGGAACCTTTTTGGGATTGACTCATGATCTCAGCTCCATCAACCAAACAGGGCACGTACAGTTTTGGGCTCGAGAACGGCTCCATGACAAAGTACGTGACATGTTGGCAACAGCCAGGGTGACTGGCCATTTTAGCCGAGGGGCAGCATCGAAGCTGTACGGCTTGGCCAATTTCCTGGAACAGGGAATCTACGGTCGAGTGGGATATGGCGGCCTCATGGCCATCAAAGCCAGGCAAGACGAGACAACCTCGACCATCACTCCCGAGATTGAAGCATGCTTCGAGGTGATCGAAGCGGTTATGCGCTTTCAGCCAAAGCGGGAATTTCCCGTTCTGCACCTGGATCATCTGCGCTTTTTGGCAGCCTCCGACGCAGCTGTCGAAGCAGACAATCCTGGTTCAGGAGGTTTTCATCTGATCTTTTTCCAGCCTGACGGATCACAAATTCGTCACAGTTTTGTCGCGACCAACTGTGCAGAGCTCCGAACACTTTGGCAACCTGCAGAGACGCATATCGCCCAATTGGAACTATCTATGGTGCTCTACGCCCTTGTCGAAAGGCCTGATCTGTTTCGAAACCGACACGGCCTATGGTTTTTGGACAACGTAGCAGCCGTCATGACGCTAGTGAGAGGACGTTCTAGCAATGCCGACTTAGCGAAGCTAGGTCATTTGATCCATCTAGCTCTGTTTGCACTGCGAGCCCAAGGATATTGGGAGTACGTCCAGAGCAAGAGCAACTGGGCTGACGATATCAGCCGACTTGGCGTCAATGATCCATGGTGGCGATGCCATGGTTTTGAATTTTATTCGTCGTACCTCCCTACAATCTTGTTCCAGCTACCCTTTGCAGCTGTCATTCTCACCTTCGAATACCTTTAGTGCTTTGGGAATTGAGTGCATTGGGTGATTCCTGCAGAGCAGGTTCCAGCCTGGGTTGCCAGGCAGCTGACCAGTGGCGAAACTGGTCTGGGGCTATGTACGTGTCACATCGTGACAACCCAAAGCAAACCTGAGGATTGCAGGTGAAATTGACTGAGCATAGGCATAGCTGTGGAAAAAGAAAGCTGCGGGAGCGCGAGACAGTATCTGTTTCATATGACACTTTGAGATGTACCCATGCATTGAGTTTGGCAGGCTTGGGTGTGCATGTATCATCTTTAAGTGTTTCAATGAATGCTACCATTTTGGCTCAAGTAAACTTGAACCAAAATAGCATTCATTGCTGTTTTCTTTCCCCACCCTCCCAACCCTAAGAGCCGACCTCCCGTGGAGATGTCCGCCTAGGTTAGGGGAGCCTGCACGGCAGGCGAGTCCATAGCCTCTATCGGGGATCCTCTCTTGGGGCGACCAATAGAGTTTTTCCTTCCCTTAGGTTTAAGGGATGGGTGATTCCTGCAGAGCAGGTTCCAGCCTGGGTTGCCAGGCAGCTGACCAGTGGCGAAACTGGTCTGGGGCTATGTACGTGTCACATCGTGACAACCCAAAGCAAACCTGAGGATTGCAGGTGAAATTGACTGAGCATAGGCATAGCTGTGGAAAAAGAAAGCTGCGGGAGCGCGAGACAGTATCTGTTTCATATGACACTTTGAGATGTAATATTATTATATATTTATCTATGTATGTGCATAAGTATCGCAAGTATCGCAAGTCTCCCTCCAATTTGAGGCTTGGGGCTGAAGGGTCCCAGCATGACCTGCGACACCGATGGATCCTCCTCCTTGACGGCCGTCCACCTGGGGGGCGAAGCAGTGCTGACGAAAGGTCACGGGGTCAGCAACGAGTGCCTTGGCTGATGGAGCAAACCCAAGTTAGGTTTCTGGAGCGCAGGATGGATCATGATTTCGAGCAGATTCAAAACGATTCAAGCACAAACATGAACAGTCTGCAAGGAGATTGAATGAGAATCATCGATTGGGTTGCGGAAGAGGGTGTGATTCATCGATTTCAGAACTTTACCCGATGAGGTTCTCCCTAGCCGGCGGCGTGGCTTTCCAGTTGGGTCCAGTCTATTTGCCACAGATGCAAGCAGCAGGGCTCTTGGGAGGCCTCAAGTGGAGTGGTGGGTTGAAGGATGTTGAGAGGGCTATTGACAGATATTATTGACCATTGAAAAAATGAACTATTTTCCGGAGGTAGTTATAGTCCTAGCTGTCTTGAATACGACCCAATTGGTATCCAAATGAGGTACTTGGTTGATTTTTGCGGTGTTGGGGCTACCCCATTACAAATCAATACAAGTTGGATGGGTGAGTTGAATCCACCATGAGGTTCCTGATCTTGCTGCGTTGGGGCTCACCTGTGTTCAGTGGTTGGATTCTGCTGAACTTGCATTGGGTCTCAACCGGGAAAAGACTGAATCAGGTTTGGGAAGATGCTTCACTTGGGATGTGAGTGCCTTGAACTGCAAGCTGGAGCAGTGCGCAGGTGATTCGTACCAGTTCCATGCCTGACAATCTTCGAATGAGGTGGTTCCCAAGCTTGGATTCCCAAATCCAATCATCTGCCAAGATGATGCCAGCCATGTGATATTTATGGATCCTTGTGGAGGGAACCAGCCTGCTTGGGAATGGATTGAATAGGCCACACCAGCCATCACCAGCCTGCTGGTTCGTGCTGAGGTGCGCAGGGCTACACGCTGGGCATCTTGGTTTGCAAGCAGCATGAGCCTTGCAATTTCATGAACTGCATGCGAAAGTCTTTCGCATTCTTCCATCATTTTCCATCTGAAAATCTTAAAGTCCTTGAGTCGAAGCTGTGAAATGGTGTAGAATTTGGCTATCCCGTATCAGGGGTGTTCAATTCTGTACCCACTTGGCCTGCAACTGTTCCCCCCCCTGCAGCCCATTGCTTGTAGGAGATGGTTGCGGCTTCATCGTGCAGAAACGCATGGCAGATTGGGTGGATGGAAAGCAGGTCCTGATTGAAGGTGAACCTTTGGTCAGCTCCTCAGGCCACCATCCACTGCCATCCACATTTTGGTGTTTCCCCTCCGGGAATCAGGCATGGGAACATGGGAATTGAACATCCCCTGCACTCAATTTCAACATATTTCAACCCCCTATTTTAAGTATAATGCCTCCTAAATAAATGGAATCAAATGGATGCAAACAGGCGCAGAAAAAACAGGGCGTTTCAATGGTAATATCATTGATCATTAGGAATAATCATCCATCCATGAAATGTTCCCATTTGGATTGAAGTTTGAAGATGGTTTAATCATTTTTACATACTTTTAATATGTTTTAATGGATTTTCCACTGCCACTGCTGTCGTGTTCTGTTCAAGATTGTTCAAGTTCAACACTGAGCCGCTGAGGTGGCCAGCATTTGTGGCAGCTCCTGTGCCACCATCGGCCTGGGAGCGGCCATGAATGCACCTCATGGACCCTCAGAACAGGAGTTGGTGGCGCAGACTCTGAAGACAGCACCTGGGATGTCCTGGGGTATTCCCGGGGGAACCATGGAGGAAAAAGCATAGAACAGACTTTGGTCAGACTGTGGGTGGCAGCACATAGACATAGTCTTTTGGATTTTTTTTTGGCACATTGTGGCACACTATATTTTGAGTTCAGGCTGCCCGCGATGACCCCAATGTTCATTGATGCGTTTATTCGTCGGGTTGTAGTACCTGGTTGGTTCATTGAGAAATTTGTGGGTGTAATTTGATCCATCATGGGATCCATTGGGATCCCAGTTCCCAACCCATGTGCCGATGAGGCCATGCTTGATCCCTTGAACATCGATGCAGTGGAGTGTAACGGCCAAGGTTCCCTGCTGAGACACTTGGCAGATCTTGGCATAGCAGACGTTGTGTTTATGAAACACCGAATCGCTCGAAATCGCTCGATATGGGACCCATCACCTCCAACAGTGATCAAAAATTGCATGACTTATCATGACTTGCATTTGAAGATATTTCAAGATTAAAAGCAATATTTTAGGCCCCTTAGGCATTCACAACATTTCACAGCCAAAAAACGCACGCAGATCCCAGGAGACGCGGTGGAAGCTGATTCTCTGTTGCGAGTGCTTCGCAACGATTTCATCGAGGCGCTGAACGCTTCCATCTGCATATCCTTGTCTCCGCCGTAATATTCCTAAAGATTCCTAAAGTTTATCCATGTTTATCCCCTCCGACATCCTCCGAGTATCAGAGATCTAACACCTAGCAATGGACTGCAATGGACAATTCCCCGGTCGAAAAAATGTTCTACCAAACATGTGGATTCTTCCCACTACCAGGTTTGTCTACCAGGAAGACAACCTGATTATGGCATCCCCTGGCAGCGTCCCAGGCTCCTCTGCCGCTGACGGCCATCAAGAGCCGCATGGGCTATGCCACAGAATGCGCTGGTATTGCTTCGTTGCATCGGCTTCTCCTCTCGGGCATGTGCGGGGTTTTAGCGCCCAACAACCACTTGCAGCAGCTGAATCCCCATTTGAACTTTGACAACAAGGCGGCCTTGCTCACTGTCACTCGGCAGCTATCAGTGGATTCGTGCCTTTTTTTGGGATTTTTTGGGACCGAGGGTGGCTCCACATGTTTGATGTCACTGTTGATGTCAGGAACCACTGGAGACAGCTATGGCCAGTAGCTACATGGGAGTCCAGTCCCATGGCTTTGGAGGAACACAGGTCCATGTCATCGCCTATGGCCTCCTTGATCCCAGCAGGTGCATGAATTTCATGGCAACCATGGCAAGCTTAACCATGGTCTGCCATGGTTAGTGAGTGAAGAGTGAGTGAAGTTTGAATGCACTATAATACACTTTCCTGTCAGAACATGTCAGAACGACTTGGGATGAAAATCCACAATGACAAGTGGTTTTGGGGTGATGGGTTGAAAGCTCTATTTCTGAAATGACTTTCAAACATCTTCGAACCAACAAGCGGTGAGTCAGATTGGAACAGATGCCGTGCCCTCTCCGCAGGTCTGCACCTCCACCTGTGCCGGAAGAGAGGCTGAAGCAGCCGTTCTTCAATTTCTGGCCGGGAGGAGGTGGAGAACTGGAGGAGGAGCTCAAGGGGTCACAGTCACAGTGCCAAGTTCAGCCAGGTTCAGCCTTCACTTCTTTGATCATTTTGATAGCAGATGGATGTTGATTCTGATGGATCCCACATGATATAACTTGATATAACAATATCAGTGGGGTTGAACCATGTTGAACCCAATTAACCGGGCTGCTCAGTGGTTGTTGGCTGCTCTCCGACCGATTTTCTCTTGACCCAGGAGCAGCAGCCTTCCCGCGGGTATTTCATCGCTGGCACTTGGACCAAGTGGAGAGCCATCAAGATGGAGAACGAAGGTTGGACCGCCTGTGGAAACTTCGTTGAAGCAGGGATTGCAGGAACTGTCCTTGTCATGTTCATGCAGGACTTTGGGTTTATTTGGGAGGTTCCAAGACTGGTATCTGAAAAAGAGCCTTCTAAACATCACCTATTTGAGAAGCAGCCCCCTATTGTTGAATCATATTGAATCCAGATTGACAAAGCAGCACCACATTTGCTTCAATCACATAGGTTCCCACGGGTTCCGTCGCCATTCCTAGTGGAGGCGGTGACAACTTTGGCTACACCATGACGTTGGGTGAGAATCGCTGGGAGGAGCCACTTAGCATTACTGAGCTCAGCATTTCGACGCGTTTGACGCCAGTTTCAGGTAGTTGGATGATGTTGGATGATGTTGGATGGCTAGTGGCAATCTAGTGGCCCGTAGTGCAGAGGTGGGCAGCAATATTCCATGACGGGTTGAACACTCTCCAGTGGAACCCAGCAGAAGGATCCTTGGAGAAACGTGGAAATGTGCCCTCACGTCAGCCAAGGTTCCAAATTTATTTGGACGGCCTCTCATCAGCATTACTTCTTCCAACACATTGTATTTGATACATATATTTCTTCAAACGAAATTCCGACGGATGTGAGCACCTGTTGTATTTGAGGCGATGACAGAAGGACTGCCAGACCAGCCTGCTTGCCTTGCAGCTGGGTCAGAGTACCTCCTGCAAACTGGCAAATTCCTAGAAGTTTGCTTGTTCTTTGTTGAACTTGTGGAATTGGATGAGGTTCCTATCAACACTGGGATGGGTTTCCTGTCAAGATTATTCAAGATTGGTGATGTTACATGGTTTTCCTATGTTTTCCTATCAAAAACGACGAACATCATGGAAACTTGGGCATTTTCCATGGCCATGGCATTCCCAAAACGGCTCTATCGATCCGTAATCGATCCGTCAGGAGACTACACCCCGAGAAGCCCCGGGCCTCCAAGGGAGTTCCCGTTCATGGCCCTGATGCCAAGGCGTGTCGTAGGTGGTCGCAGGTGGCGACTGCCATTCAGCACCTTTCCAAGGTATGTGTCAAGTAGCAATTGAAATGGCAATTCATTGCCTGGCACTATAGAGAATGGATATGACATGATATGACAACATAATTGCTGTAAATGTTGATAAATGTTGGTAATTGACACAAGAGCAACTATCACATGGCAATAGTTTTAACGGTAATGGTAGTTGGACAGAAACCAAGCTTGGAACTCTGACCCACGTGCTCACATTTTGACTGCGTCAATTGCTGCTTCGTGATTGGAGAGTGCCGAACCATTTACAGAAACAATCTTCATGTAGTTGAGCCATGTGAGCAAAAAATATGGCGTGAGAAGAGTGAGGTGTGTATGGCGTGTGTTTGTGGGTGATGTGGGTGATGGTTTTGTCTTGCCATCAGCCAGGCCCGGGGTCTCAATTGGAGGATTGAAGGTGCGCTTGGGTCAAGTCATGGGTTTCGCATATTTTGGCTGTTGATATGGCTCACAACATCTCAAAACCAATCTGCGCCCTCAAGATCCTCAAGAACCTGGACGTCAGAAACTGCACATTGGCACATTGCTCATGGGTATTCATGGGTATTCATGGGTCATAGCCAGCCAATTGCTATCGTTTAACAGATTTTAACACTTGTATCATGTGGTCATTTTCATCTGCCTGGCATGGCTTGACAGGCCGTGGGCAGTGGCTGGACGTTCCGACCGATGCCTTGGCTGGGGTGTCCTTGGGCAATGCCGAGAAGACACAGAAAGCCATTCAGGCCATCAGCAGCAGCTTCAATGGCGAGACGCACCTTGGAGCGGAGCCGTGTTGTTTCTGATATTTTCTGATGGCTGAAGGATGTTGGAACATGTTGAAACATCCGTTGTTTCAGTTGTCTGATGTTGGATAGTAGCGGATAGTAATCGACTAAGAAAAGGCAGGGTTTGCCATACAATCCAGTCTCCAATTGTCTCCAATTGTCTCCAATGTCTCCAGTAAACATCTTCACAACCGAAGACACGTAGGCACGGCTGTTTCCTTTTGAGTTGGGCTTTCGTCAAACCTCCAGGATTGGGCCAGCGGTTTCCTGCAACCTGCCTGGCTTAAGCGGCTCAGGCAGTCGGCGGATCTCAAACTCATGGAGTTTGGCTCCGGCGACGTGGGAATGCCGGGCGACAAGTACCGGATCCGGCTGCGCATCGCAGGAAGATACCGAGCCTGGGCAGCCTGGGCGTGAAGAGGTTGCAACACATGGGCCAGTGGGCCTATCGCATGTTATAAGTAGTGTGAATTGCGTGTGAAACTGGCCGACACTACAACTCATCTTGGTGGCCATAGAACCTTTCGGGGCAGATGGGTCAGTGGGCTTTGAGTTAAAGCTGCTTAGCGCCCCATACTCATATTGCTGCAAGCGATGTAGTAGGGTAACGAGGCCTACCACAGCCATATTTGGTTCAAGACATGGCCAACTACCTGGGTGAAATGTGACCAGGTGGCCCCCCTTTGGGGAAACATGCCAACTGATGTAGCCGAAGTGGCTTCAGATCCCATCTCACAGATATGTGCACTTTGCCGCTGGGGAAGCAGTCAGCCCAAAGTGCTGCGCTGGCAGCAATTTGCAGGGCCTCTCTTTCCCCAATCTGAGGTGGTGATATGCAGTGATACGAGATTTATCAGGGGACATATGGGGACATTACAATCATTGAAGGAATATTGATCTCACATGATTGTAATCGAAGGAAGTTTAGAAGTCAAACTTCCGACAATATGGACAGATGAAAAGCAGAGTAGGGCAGAGGCAGAGAGAAGAGAAAGATTAGAAGAGAGAAGAGTAGAAGAGAAAGAGTCAGAAGAAAGAAGATGCAGATGCGCGAAAAGGTAGGAAAGTCGCGAAACACTGTGTTTTTCCAATGATTTGTGGCTCCGGAGAGTCGAAAAGTAGGCTCGCTAAAGCGGCGGGTGCGGAGCCAGCTGGCCAGATGAGAGATGAAAAGTTGCACGCCGTTGTGGCGCGAAGCACATTTCCAAGTCAAAATGTACAAAACACACCATGCTCGGACCACTTTTGGAAGTTAAGATGTTTGAAAAAGTGCACGCCGTTGTGGCGCGAAGCACATTTCCAAGTCAAAATGTACAAAACACACCAGGTCCGGACCACTTTTGGAAGTTGAGATGTCGAAAAAGTGCACGCCGTTGTGGCGCGAAGCACATTTCCAAGTCAAAATGTACAAAACACCAGGGGTTCGGACCACTTTTGGAGGTTGCGATGTCGAAAAAGTGCACGCCGTTGTGGCGCGAAGCACATTTTCAAGTCAAAAGTGTTAAAAACTGACGGTCTCGGACCACTTTTGGAGGTTCAGATGTCGAAAAAGCGTCGAAAAAGTGCACGCCGTTGTGGCGCGAAGCACATTTGGAAGTCAAAAGTGTAAAAAAAGTGAGGGTTTTGAGCCTTTTTTAACGTGCTGATGTCGAAAAAGTAGACACTGATTAACTTAACTAACTTGACTAACTTAAGTAACTTCACTAACTTAACTACCCTAACTTAACTACCTTAACTACCTTAACTACCTTAACTACCTTAACTACCTTAACTACCTTAACTACCTTAACTACCTTAACTACAACAACAACAACAACTACACAACAACTACAACTACAACTAGAACTACAACTACAACAGCTACAACAACAACAGCAACAACAACAAGAGCAACAGCAACAACAACAACAACAACTACAACTACAACTAGAACTACAACTACAACAACTACAGCTACAACAACAACAGCAGCAACAACAACAACAACAACTACAACTACAACTACAACTACAATAGGTCGATAGATGGATAGATAGATAGATAGATAGATAGGTAGGTAGGTAGATAGATAGATAGATAGATTCATAGATAGATAGATAGATAGATAGATAGATACATAGATACATAGATACATAGATACATAGGTAGGTAGGTAGGTAGGTAGATAGTCAGAGAAAGAGAGAGAAAGAGAGGAGACCTCAATCACCTTTCGGTCCATCAGTGGCTTCGCTCTGCCATCCCTGATTCACAACAACCAGTCTCTCCTATAGGTTTCCTATTTTTGAAACTTCCGCCACCGCCTTGTGCGGTATTACTGGTATATTGTAAGTACATTATTCTCCACTGCTCATCATCCTTGATTGCCTCCCAATTCCTTTTGGTTCACGTAACAAACTCGTCAAATCCCAATGATTCAGGCGATGTTTGATTTCCGCCCTTTGAAACTTTCAACGTTGAACTGCCCCTTCAGGTGGTGAACATTCCTTGGCTCCAAGACACAGAAGCAACTGAAAGGCGCCTGTGGCCCGGCAGTCCCAGCAGTCCCGGCAGTCCAAGCGCTGAGAAATCGAACGAGTCACGTTTTTCGGTGAATCTCCGGGAAGTGTTGGACATTTCGAGGTCGTCTTTTGCAGTCAGCAAAGGCGACTGGTTGGAGTTATTGAAATTTATTGAATGGATGTTGTTGAATTGCTTCCGGTCACCCAAGGGATTGCTTTGTGTGAACTATGTTTTACAATTTTACCATATTTTACCCCAAAGATGGGTGGATTCAACATGATCTCTCCATATCTCTCCACTTCCCAAAAGAGGGATGAGGAGCTCCGATTGACCAATCTATTTTTTGGGCGGCTCAAGCACCAATCAGGTGACGGTACTGATACACTCTTCAAGGCGAACGTTGTTGCTGGTGGAATACTCGCACTCACTGAGGTGGATGGCAAAGACCCAGACATCCTGCTGCGAGCTGGCTCAGGACAAAAGAGAATGCTGACCATCATGGAAGGCAACGGTTCATACTTCGGCAAAATCGAAATCGCGGATAGCCGAGGGATGGTGCTGTACCATATGCAGAAGCCTTGTGCCACAATCACTGCCGATGTGAAGGATCTGAGTATGCAAGTGTACCCCTTGTCCGCTGATGCCAAGTTCTTGCGGGCAGCATCAATGATAAAGAAAGGGGAGAGGCTGAGAATCCAGGTGTCAAAGAACTTTGATGCTTCTCTCTTGCTGGGCTGCTTGCTGGGAATTGTTATCCTGGAACCTGATCTAATGAAACGAGCGTGTCATCACTAGAGCAATCTCCTTCCCGAAGTAAAACATCACCAACGGCGCAGAGCTGCGAAAAAAAGGAAGTCTGAGGCTGCTTCTGGAGACTGCAGTAGTGCATGGGGATTGGCTCGAAATGATAAGCAGGAAAAATGACAATCCAAGTATGACAATATATAGTATGTATATCTATCTATATATATATATCTATATCTATATATATATATACATACAGTAATTACACACCATAATTAATTTTGTGGTGCCTTCGGTTTCTCATTTTTGAGCCAGAGCCGTGGTTTTCAAAGGCCTTGTTCACCGAAACAAGCCTTGTTGCAAGACCCCAGTTGCTGTAGGGCAATGGACAATGCCATCGTCGCACATCGAAGCACCAAGGAACCGTTCTGTGGGAAAAGCTGCAAGTTGAGGACGACACACCCTTGGAAGCCCCAGAAGGCTCGGGCACCCAACCTGCTCGGTCGCCAAAGTGATAGTTGTGGTTTGCCAACACCATAGCTTCACTAGATTGAGTCCATGTTCTTTTCAGACTTGTGTTTATATATTTTATATAATATGATTTATATACTAATGAACATCAGATAGATGTTTGCTTGCAGCCAAGCTGCGACACACTTTGCTCAGGTGATTACTTTGTGGTTGGAAGTTGGAACAATTGGATGGCCGACCAGATGTCCCTTCGTAATGAGACCTGGTCAATAGAGGCGCATCCGTCACTGAAGTGAGCGAGCCTAGGTCGTGATGCAGCATGCTCAAATTCCAAAAAGCACAAAGCCCCAGGCTGCAGCTTATGCCATGGAAGATTCAACCGAACAGTTGCAGGTGGAATTGCCCTGCCAGGGAGGCGAATTTCAAATCCTGAGAAACGAGGACAGGCTTGAGACCGATTTACTTCTGACTTCTCAGATCTTCTCAGTCTTCTCATGTCTTCTCATTCGTGATTCGCATTTCTTAGCCACTAATGTTAAACTGGCAGCCCTGCAGGACTGGACTCAAATGATTGCCCCAAAAGGAAGGTTAGCGCCAGCCAGGGAAGTCGGCCAAGGCGCGTCGCCAGTACGTTTGTTGCAGCGGACAGCTGCTATTCCATCCTTGTCATGCTCATAAGTGCTGCTGAATTCTCTATGAATCTCCGATGTTTGTGATCTTAAATGCACACACCAAACAAAAACAAGCCAACCAGATACGTAGATTGACAGACGGACAGACAGATAGATCATGATAGATCATCATGGATCATGGTGGATAGACCATGATGATAGATCATAATGGATCAAGATAGGCATGGTAGATTCGTAGATCATCATAGGCCTTTGCCTGAGGCTTAGTGAGCTTCCTTCAGCGTTCTGTCGCAGGCCCTGACCATTGCAGCCAGTTTCGTGGCTGCTCCTGGTCCCTGAACGGCCAGCCGGGAGACGTCTTCCGCATCACGTGTCAAGCTCAGAAATCAGCATGTGACAAACACATGGGGGCTCACAGGCTTGGAGCGCAAGCGATACACAAGTTGATGGTCTATCCCAGAGAGCAGTTCTTCCAGCCACCTCAGCATACATTTGCCCAAGGTTCACGCGTGCCATGATCAAGCAGCCGAATGGCAAATTGGAAGATGAAAAGCGAGTCTCCTGGGAGAAAGTGCGGGAGGCCAGCAGCACCCATTAACGTCAGATACCACATGATTTTCACTCCGGGCCTTATAGTCCTTGGTTATATGATTTATATGCGTGAATATGCGTGAATGTATTCCTTGATTTTTTTGGGAGATTCCGAATCTTAATTACTTTACTATGATTGGAGATGATGCACGCTTTTCACTGGGAGAATGGATCAGCCGGCGAACACCGCCAGGCTTCCAAATCTGGTGCTGGTGCTGAGTTGGCCTTGAAGAGCTCTGTTTTTGCCGTGATCGGCTCCTGGTGTCTCGCCGCCCCGCATTCGCAGTGAATGATGGTCTATGAGAGTAGGGAAAACCCTCCGGAGCTTGGGGTACCCAAGTAACTTAATCAATATAATTAAATTTCAGATTGAATAACATATGAATCATAGATATCAGATATCTGTCACTGTTTGACCAACATCCTCTGCCGCCTACTGGTTCCAGTGAAGGTTGCACAGGTCTGGTAGAGTTTTGGAAAGCCTAGGAGTGGCTTTGGGAAAGTCCATCGGATGAACTCTAAATCAGTTGATGGCGAAACTGTTCCTCGTCAGCAATGGAACATGGAAGTAAGTGTGCAAGCGGTTCTGAAAGGTGCGATTTTTGTTTCAGATTGCTTGCGCTTTCCGATTGAGACTCTCTTGAGTACTTACTCCCTTCACTTGCTTTGAGGTTTATACATTTTTTGTAGAAGTTGGGCGTGAAGGCTACGAAAGCTTCCAGCTGGTCCAAAATGCTGATTTGAGCAGATGCTTGGAGCATGAGACCCAAGGCAGTGGAAGTTGTGAGCCTGACCAGGATGTGTACTTGCGGGCCAAGCAATCGTGGATTTGCAGTTGGAAAATCCAAAGTAACCTTCCGTGACCTTCCCACATGTTCAAAAATTGGTAATTGCTCTATTTTTCTGATCCTCTGCGCACAACCTTATTGATTGCCTCCCGCCTCCCTTTGCACGTCTCAAAGTAGCACCTGCGGCGGCATTGCTTTGGCACTTAGGAATCATCCATCCTGACCGCCCTGTGACCATTCCAGGCCAGGGAATGGAGATGGAGCTGGCCAGGAGGAAGATGCATGCAGTCATACAGATCGACACACATATATAGTACGATATTATGTATATATGTGTGTGTAATATGTGTATATATATACACAATTATATACATATGTATGTACGTATGTGAGTGTATCTATATCTATATCTATATATATATAATATTTATTTTTACTTTTTTTAAAAAGCTATTGTCCTGAGCATGGAGCTCATCTGCAGTTTTTGTTGTGATGCCGAGTGTCAGGTTCCGCAAGCCGAGTTTTGGTCTCATCGATTGATCAGGTGAGGCAAGATCTCGCCACTGGGCAGAGCGAAATGCCCGATTTGCGAGAACGATGTTCAAGCTTGCAACGTAGAGTATACAGATGTATACAGTACACGTATATGAGGGGAATTTGGCCAAAAAGACACAAGGTCTGGGCACTTGGCATCGAGAAAGCCAATTCCACTGGAGACGTTTACAAGGTCGAAGTGGTGGTAAGAGGCGCCTTGGTTTGGATATGTTTGGACGTGGTCATTTTTTCATCAGCCGGGGCTGATAGATCATCTTAGATCATCTTAGATCCACTTTATCGATTCAGCATGATTCAGCTAGTAGGTGGCTAATAGACATGGATACCCCCCAATCACTTGCTGTGACCCACTCGAGGCGATGTGGTGATGAGTGTCTCCTGGACCGTACTGGAAGATGCCCCGCCCAAAGATAGGGAGATCTTCGGCAGCTTGTGAAGTGCGGAACCAACAGAGCCACTCTCGGAAAATGGGTCTGACCCCATTTTTGGGCAAACCCAACTGGGGAAAAACAAAAACAAATTAAATAGCACATGCAACAGACACAAACTCAGCCACAAGGATGCCAGCAGGACTCGTGCACTGATAGCCATAGGGTGGAATGCTTGCGCAGCCCACACCATGGCTGCCAAGCAGCATCTTCCATTCGAAGCACCCCGATCTTATTGCGACGACCGCTGTCGATGTAAAAAACGCTTTCCACAGTGCTCGGTAGTTTGGGCCAAAAGTAGAGTTTTCATGAGTTTTTGTGCTAAAGAATTATTAGCCACTCCTCCTTAACTTCAGCTTGATGTAAAATGTCATAAACATAGAAATCACGCGAAATGATAGGGAAATGGCGTGTGTGATAGGGTCGGTATACATGATCAGATTTGCTGTCCCTGGGGTGTGAGCGTTTGGTTCTGCAGCCATGCCAAAATGCGTATGGGTCAAATACGTACATGTAAGCGTCATAAACCACAGCCAAGAGGGGTTATTATCAAGACTGGGTAGAGTCGGTAGAGTAGATTTTTATAGACCCATACCAGTCGTTGGTCATTGGGTCTATTGCATGTTTCACTTTGGTTTTGGAAACGCATCTGTCTTTATACATCTTTATACGCGTGCATGCCTGTAAAAACTTGTACATATGATTAAATACGTATATGTTTTCACTTTGCACGTATATAGACTCAGGAAGACGGAAGCAATTCGGTTTCATGCTGTTGCCGTTCAGGGCTCAGCCAGGGGCGTTCCAGCCGTCTGCCTGGCGCACCTTGCAACATGGCAGGAGGGACACTTGAGTGGCTGCAGCAAACATTGGGAGTTAGTTCATAGAAAAGGATACAAAAGGATACAAAAGGTCACGAACATGAGGATTTCAGAATGAGGTATGTCGAACATCTCAGACACTGTGACTCGACCAACATGAGATGATGTTTTTTGCTGTATGGGGTGTAGTGCTACCTCCTGGATTTGGCAGGTCCATTTGGACACGGTTCTTTCAGCCCCATGGCTGATTTATAAGACTTTGATAAGCAAGTTTTGCTAAGGTCTTGCGATGAAGAGATCTTTCGATGCCGCAGTCGGAGGTCTGAGGGTCTATAGGGGTTCCGGCTGCAGCCCAGAGATTTACAGGAAATGCTAGTAATTCAAAAAAGGAAACACATTTACATTTTGTTTCTACCTTTAGGAAGCTGAGAGGTTCAAACCACCCTTGAGTTCAAATGTTTGCCATTTCTCAACTGTGGCAGGATTGGCAGGTGGCCCTCCAAAGGCTCCCCGAACCGTGGGGATGGCCATTAAGATGCTGGTGGACCCCAAAGAAGCCGGAACTTTGATTGGCAAAGGCCGCTCGGATTCCATTCCATGAGGTTTGGTTCACCAAGGCAGGCCGTGAGTTGATGGGTTAGTGCACACGCGCACAGTTGGCTACTCTAGATATTTGAGTGAGGTGGTGCCACGCAGAAGCAGATTGCGGAAAGTACTGGGTGCAGACTACATTTGAGCGGTTTTGGTGAGCTCTACCCTGGAACCCAGTTGCAAGAAGCCACTTGGTTGACATCAAAGTCATCAACTCAAGATTCATTATTGACCTTACGTACGTTTACAATTTGTCAGCCATATCCAATTAATTCCTATCATATTCCATTTAATAGGTCCATGGGTCGCCTTTCCACGCCTTTCTGCAGGTGTAAAACACGTACTCTTTGGTTCTGGCGTTCCAACCTTTTCAATCCGTGTTTATCCTTTTCGAGCCTTGTCCCATCCCTTTCCAATCCTTTTCCCATGTTTTGTACCGTTTTGTTGAGGTATGCATAAAGGCGGACAGCACGGAGATGGTGTCCCACGGCGTCATGTCAGTTTTGACCAAGCTCGCGGAAGAGAGCGGCGGCAAGGTGAATGGTGGCGAATGGGAGGTTGAGGATGGAGGTGCCAGAGCAACTCGTCGAAGACACGTCGAAGACACGATGACGGCCGTGAAATCTGATGAAATCTGAAGCTTTTGTGAGATTTGCGGGTAAACATTAAACATTGGTAAAATGTCTAGCGACCAGCTTACAAATAGAAGGCCAAGTGAGTGAATTTTGAGCATTTAGATTTAAGCCATGAACAGACGAAGATCTATCCCTATCCTGCTGAAAACCCTGTGGATTTGCAAGGTATTTGCAGTTAGCCATGGTTCCTGGCCAAAGGTTTGGGTTCCTCACAATGACTTCACCACCCGTGATGGGTGTCAAGATGGAAAATATCAACACGCTCCGCATATTAGCTTGTGATGTCGGTTTTATTCATTGGCCGCAGAATGAGATAGATCAGACAGAGTGATATAATTGGAGAGGCAGAGAGAGGGAGAGAGAGGGAGCGAGAGAGAGCCCTTTTTCCACTCGGGGATAGGCTCCGTATGATTCTGTGAAACTTTGACATGTGCCTGCAACCTTGGACTTCGATTTTAAATGAGTTTTTCCCGATATCAGCGTTGGTGTGCCAAAATAATAGACAAGGATACAGACTATTGGATGAATAGACGGGCCGGGGTCAGGTACACTTCATCGTTCCAACTCAGTCAGCCCGAGCCATCATTGGGAAAGGCATCGAGCCCCGGGTGGTGAAGTAGCCAACTGAAACATGGCTGGAAGAATCCTGCAGCTGATTGCAGTTGTGTGTAATATTGTGATATATTATGTAATGCACCTTTTGATTTTTAAAACCCTGTAATAGCTGTAAATGACCATGTTTAAATATGTTTAAATCACCGGTCGGTACATCAATGATTTTATGATATGGAGCCCCAACAGAGGTGATGCGCTTGGAGGCAAAGGCATGCCATTATCTACCATCCATGACATAAAATCCATGACATAAAATACAGGCCATGATGCATGAATTTAACTCAAACCAGTCGGACCACCAGAGTCAGACACATGAATTATCATGCATTGCAACATTTTATTTTGGAGGGTAAAATGCCATACATACTATAGTTGATTGTCCTGATGTGTCCTGACATCTTTGATTTTTCTAAAACCAGCCTTTGAGAGTCGGAGGTGGTGAGAATGTGAAAGCCTTGCGGGAGGCTTCGGGCATGCAGGCTCGGGGTTCCATAGCTCCACAGTTCTCATACCCAACAGCAACTACCTTGGTTGTTGCCACATTTTTCGGCGATCATGGTAGATTCACTGATGCCGTTTGGGGATGGCACCATCCAGTTATGTAATAATAGTATATAAATGTATGTAATAGTGATGTATAATTCTTTGTTTGTGGTGATAGGATGGCTTATTCTGATTAGTTCTTGGGTGTACCACATTGCTCACCATCTTTCCACATTCAACAGGTCCACGTGGAGGATATGGTCCTGGGGGAGCGGGACACTGCGGAACAAGTGGTGTCCCTCGCGGGACCAACGTCGCAGATTCAGTTGGCCTTGCCCATGATCCTGGAGAAGGTGGAGTCGGGTGGGAGTTGAGGCGATGTTCACAGTGAAAGGTGCTTGAATACCTGAATACATCTGAATAGTTGTTTGTTAATTATATTATATTGTTTGTTATATATTAACCACACACACACATATATATATAATATAATTATCTATACGTAGCTTAACTGTTGGTTTTGAATTAGTCTTGCTGGCCTTGAGTTCTTCAGATCATCGAATATCTGTGAATAATGATGATGTTGGGATGGTAATGGATTAGTTCAGACATCCTCCCACAACTCACTATACCTGGAACTGTTCCGAGTAGTTCCTTTGTGCAGTTCCTGAGTGTGATCGTTGGAGAATGGTTGGTTGGAGCTGATTTTCCCTTGGAATGTAGTTCCAGGTTTGGGGGTTGAAGTTTTGCTTTGGTTGCATTCTCATAATTCTCATTGAATTGTCGTTCCCTGAGGAGTCTATATGAGCGTGTTGCAATTTGAAGCAGCATTTTCCACCCTGCGTACCCTGCAACATCCTGCAACCCGCTGCGCTTGTTTGCAAACCAATTTGCAGGTTGAGGAGCTTTCAGGGCAGCCATGGTTCGCGAACTGGGCCTTCAGCTGTCTAGCTGCGAAAGGTGGAGGAAAGTTCTGTGGTCAAGCGCAGGTTTTCTAAGCTGAAACTTCAATGAAGGAAGACTACCTTCGTGCTTCATCTATGATGGGATAATCACTAACAAGATTGATATAGATCTATCATGATTGACCCAACATGATCCAACTGAAGATGGAACCAAAAACGCGCCTTGCTGATGAACATGCGCATTCACATTGAAGTCACTGCAAGTCCCGCATGCAAGTACAGAATGAGCATATTATTCCATGGCGTAGCAGCGTAGCGGGAAAGATGTGCGCAAGAGCAAACGGACGTGAGAGCATAGCGGCATGTACGGAAGTTAGTTGGCGTGCGTAGCAGTAGAGATGTGACAGGTGAGCAGCAACGTTATACAGCGCCGCAATCGCCACAATTGCAAATTGAACGTTATTGCCCCAACCTACCTTCCCAACCCCATCTCATCAAATGCAGCAACATATGACATCAACAGTAACAAAATCAGCGATTTGTTACGGGGGTCGTTAATCTGGATGTAGGCATGCACACATGCACACACACACACAGCCCTTGCACCAGTAATCCTTGAGTGGGACGTGCAGTGACGTAAACGTGCATTTGCATCCGACCGGAGCGTCATCAACAATGGGAAAGCCACCCAACCGTATACATAAATCCGTATAACACAGTGGGAGAGAATGATCAATATGTAACCCTTGTAGTTGAATGTGCGCTAGTTTGGTAACTTTCACGTGCATCATCCGACTGCAGGAAAGGGCAAAGGCGGCATGGCCAACATGGGCGGCATGGGCATGTCTCCAATGAACGGTGGGAAAGGTGATGGGAAAAGCAAAGGTAAAGGTGCCATGGGGATGTCCATGGCTGGAATGGGTGGCATGGGTGGCATGGGTGGCATGGATTACGGCAAGGGTGGCAAGGGCAAGGGACAGGACGGCTACGGCGCCGCGACCCAGTCCAACATCGACATGCTGTCGAATGCTGTGTCCCAGCTGCCACCCAGCCTAGCATCCGACAGATCCCAGGCATTGCAATTCAACTGTCAGGCGGAGTTTGTGAGTGCGCTGATTGGCAAGGCCGGTCAAGGCACAAAGCAAATTGCCATCATGACGGACACCAAAATTATGATTCGGGAGATTGAAGGGAATACCACCGAAAAGGCGGTGGTTGTGAAGGGCAATGCCATTAATGTCGCATCGGTTCCTTGGATTGAAGATTCAGGAAGATTCTGTAGATTCAGCCGGATGCCTGTCAGAGCAAATTACCCAGAGGCCGACATAATTAGTGAGATATAGTGAGATGTTCACCAAAAAAAAGGCAACACATCCAGCCAACCCAATATGGCGGGCACCCCGGCAATAATGTGTCAATAGATTAGTGATGATTAGTGTATATACAATTAATACATATTAATACAGTGTGTTTGCATTATTATACAGTGCAGGACATGAATGTGGGCTAGAAGCACTTAAGTGGTTTAGTGTCGCACGCGTGCTTCCCAGCTCGGATTGATTCCACTGTTCGTTCAAGTTCAGGCACAGTTTTTGCTTGTTTTATCTAGCCTCGAGCGTTTTCACACTGCCTTGTCAACCAAGCAGATCATCATCCAAAAAAGACAATCAAATAAACTGATTATAAATTATAAGTAATGCATGATATTAATGATTTCAAGCTGAGTTACACAACATGACATGATATGCAGGATTATGCCTCCCTAGTCTGCAAAGAAAATACACGCGGCAGATTCCACTCATGTCATGCCGGAGTCCCCGAAAAGTTTGGCCAAGTTGAGAGCAGTTTGAAGTGATCTTTTCCTGAGGCTTACTTACATCTCGCTAGCCGCCTGTCACAAATCATGGCAACCGCGACTCCCGATGCCGGAGCCCCTTCATTGGCAATGGCATATTCTTGAGATGGAGAGCTGCTTTAAGGCGGGACAAGGATCATTAGGTGTCAAGGCAAAACCATGCAAAACCCAGAGCTACTGGCTGATGGTTTCAATATCATGTGTCATATCAATCATGTTTTTCCGTAATGCTTGGGATGGTGAATGGGGGGCCACTGGAATCATCTGGAATCTGGTGCAATGGGTCCAACATGACCCAACCATTGGACCAGAGGAAGTTTGGATGGCACATGCCTCGTGATTTTTAACTGAAAATTAGATCATATTTAGATCATATCAAATGAGCCGTTTCCATTTGGGTGGTTTATAACGTCGACCCATTCCGAACTCACTTCACTTTGACTTCTCTCTTTTCCCGCAGGTCCGGGCAGGTTACGTTTAGCTATGGTCCTGGCTGTCGGAACGTTGGCATAAGAAGTGCCAAGCGCATTGTAAGACTACAGTGCAAGCTGCCAATGTGGCAAACCGCAGAGGCGGAGAATTTCACAGGACATTGCCAGTTTGCAATGAAGCCAGCCATGATGGGATCATGTCACATTCATGTAGTAAGCCTTGGTTTGGTAGGTTCATGTTAACCTTCAGGCCGAAGCGAATCCAAATGGAGGAAGATAACGCCCTACCCAGAACTGGCATGTTTTGCAGGGTATCTGGGGTCAGCCAAGTGATGCCAAGTGCGCAGCCGAAAAAATGAAGCGGTTCATTCTTGACAAGGCAATGGCTTCGGAGCATAATTTTGAGCATTAGCTCTGGCAGCCACTGCGTGAATGCAGAATGGCGTTGCGCAGTTGTCGTGTGTCCGCAATTGCGCACCGACACCGTGCGAAGGCCGCACGGATAATGATAATGATTCTGGAGAACTCCTATATAGCTATAGCAAAAAGATGTGGAAAAAAGCCGGAATCTGAAATCCGACGGAATCCGTGAATGTTTCACATGGTTACCATGGTTGCTGCTAACAGCTGACGATCAGTTGATGCGTATGTGACCACAAAGCATGTCCACGGTGATTTGCGTTCAGCAGTTCAGTGACATTCACAAAGGATTGTAAATCTCAAAGCAGGCACGAAACCGTGGCAGTATTTGGTGCTTGCAAGCCACATAGTGTTTAAGCCACATAGTGTTTGAAATGGTGTTTAATGTGGTTGTAATAAGTAGCTAAGTACCCTACAGGGCCTACACATGCATCAACAGATGCATTAACCGATTGATGTATATATCAGAATGTATCAGATGCATCAGGAGATGTAACTATAGTTTCCACTACGTCACTACTTTCCACCATTGACACCATACATTCCCTGAGCCATGGAGTAGCGACCCCCGAGCCACTGGTGGAAGCCATAGCAGTGAGGCGCACAGCGAATGAATTCCTTTGCTCTTGAGATGCCAGTTGACATCCTGCGTTCCTGATTGATACGATATCCATCGATATCCTCTCTCTCTCTCTTCTTCTCTTCCCCTGTTTGCTCTATCCATCTCTCCTCTCTGCTGCATGTAGAGGATCCGATAGATGGAAGAATGACGAATAATGATGGAATACGTTGAATATGTTCTTATATACAATATCTTATAATCATAAAGCTTAGTTTTTTGATATGCACAATATATAAATATACATACATATTCACACACATATTCACATACATACACACATATATATATATATTTACACATATGCAGCTGCATGTACATATACAAATTTATATACACATACACACATACACACATACACACATACACACATACACACATACACACATACATACATACATACATACATACATACATACATACATACATACATACATACATACATACATACATACATACATACACACACACAGACATACATACATACATACATACATACATACAACATACATACATACATACATACATACATACATACATACATACATACATACATACATACATACATACATACATACATACATACATACATACATACATACATACATACATACATACATACATACACATATGCATGCATACATGCATCCATGCATCCATGCATCCATGCATCCATGCATCCATCCATCCATGCATGCATGCATACATACATATATATATATACATACACACATACATATATAGACTAATAGACGCACATATACACATACATATGCATATATAGTCATCCTAAAGTAGATCCCAAAAGCGGTCCCAAGATAGAATCCCAAAATGGTGCAAAAATCCGGGTCGATGATTCAAAAAAAACAGACCATCTAGAATGATCACAAGAACAGTCATTTAGCTTGTGATTTGGTTCCGGGTTGCATGTTTGGGCCTTTGGAATGCCCACAAAAAGCGATTATTATGCTGGTGTATTTGGTTCTGGCATGCCCAGTTTCCAAAAATCTTCAAAGTAAAAGTAACCCACAATGACTTGGAGGTTTTGAAAAGGAAACTTTGAAGGCCAAAGGCAAAGGCAAAGTCATGTTCAATGAAAAGGCCTGCATCCAGAATGTCCAAGTCAGAGGAGTTCAGCTATGAGGAAGCAGGAGTCCAAAATCTTGCCATCCAAAGTTCATTTGCGCAAGTGCTGTGCCAGGACAGGTTTGCAAAACTATAGATAGAATATTTTCTGGGGAAATGAACAAACCTTTTTTTTTTTTGTTTTGTCTCAAGACATCTTGGAAAAAGTATGTATTTTTGGTGCCCTGCCACCCTGTCCACATCTACCCATCCAAGGTTCATGCTTAGTGCTTTTTGAAAGGAAACTTTGAAAGGAAAAGGGTACCGGAGAAGCAAGAATCCAAGATCTGCCATCCAAAGTTCATTCTTGAAGGTTTCGAAGAGGAAACTTTGACAGGACACGTGTTTTTTAAATTCAGGAACCCAAGATCTACCATCCAAATATCAGTCTCGCGAGCGCTGTGCCAGGACAGGTACGCAGGACTGTAGATAGAATATGTCCTAGAGCAATGCAAACATTGAAATTTTAAACGGGTGCTGACAAGTAAGTGTGTATTTATGGTGCTCCCTGCCCCTTCCTCCACGACATTTGCCCATCCAAAGTTTATGCTTTGTGCTTTTCGACAAGGAAACTTTGGAAGCAACCTGATGAGAAAAAGCAAGAATCCAAGATCTAAACTCTAAAATTCATTTCTGGACGCTTCAGGAAAGGAAACTTTGAAAGGACAGAGGGATAAGGACAGCATAAATCCAAGATCTACCATTCAAAGTTTATTCTTGGAGATTTTTGACAGGGGCACTTTGAAAGGAAAATGGGATGAGAAAATCAGGAATCCAAAATATTGCCGTCCAAAATCATTCAAGATCTACCATCGAAAGTTCATTTGCACAAGTGCTGTGCCAGCAGAGGTGCGCAAGAAGGAAACTTTGAAAGGAAAATGGGATGAGAAAAGAAGGAGCCCGCGATCTTACCATCCAAAGTTCATAATTGCAAGTTTTTGAGTAGAAAACTGTGAAAGCAAAAGGATGTTAGAAAAGTAGAAATCCACGATCTACCAGCCAAAGATCATTCCCACCAGTGCCATGCCAGGACAGCTGCGCAAAACTATAGAATATGCTCTAGAGCTATGAAAAGATTGAAATTTCAATAGGATGCTTGGAACTAAGCGTGTGTGTGTGGTGAACTCTTCTTTTCTCCCCACATCTGCCCATCCAAAGTGCGTTTTGCAGGTTTTGGCAAAAAATCTTTGAGAGGAAAATGGGATGAGAAAAGTTGGAATCCACGATCTTACCATCCAAAGTTCATTCTTGCACCCGTTTGAAAAGGAAACTTTGAGTGGAACATGGGGTGAGAAAAGGAGGAATCCGCGATCTTCCCGTCCAAAGATTAGTTTCACCAGTGCTGTGCCAGGACAGCTGTGCAAAACTATGGATAGAATATGCTCTAGAGCCATGAAAAGATTGACATGTTGAAAGGATTCTCGGAATTACACATGTGTTTGTGGTGCGCCCTGTCCCTTCCTCCACATCACCACTAAAGTTTCTAATTGCAGGTTTTTGAGTAGAAAGCTGTGAAAGGAAAAGGAAATGAACTATCCAATTTTTTTTGGAGAAGTCAGTTTCGAAGGGGACAAATACTTTGAGGCAAAGGTAGAATTAGAAGGGATTGAAGAAGAAAGGAAAAAATCATGTTCAGCATCCTGGAGTAGATTTGGACATATTCTACCTAGGGGGTCCGAAGACATAGTTTAGTATTGGGGTCAAAAACTTTGTTTTTTCAAAATAAAAAAAAAACCTACGAAGCCGGATTCTATCTACTCCAGGATGAATATATATACACACACATATATATATATGCATATACATACACATACACATATACATAATATACATATACACAATATACATATACACATACATACGCATTTAGTTATACATTTACATATACATATACATATACATTTACATATACGTATACTTATACATATACATATGCACGTACATATACATATACATATACATATACATAATTATACATATACATATACATATACTTATACATATACATATACATATACATACACATACATACATACACATATATATATACACATACATATACATATTGCGGTGGCATATGACATTATGATCATGTTTCTGCATATAAACACACACTACTATAATCATTAATAATCATTATTATCCGGCCGCGCATGAGGCTTCCAGACCGCCAGGGCAGCCATTTGGCCGCCGCTTGGAATCTTCCGCAACGGCGCGCCGCTCGACATGTGGAGGTGGCGTGACTGCAAGCAGTGCTGAGGAAGGGCGGTTGTGTTGTGAATTTTATGGCGCATACGATTTTTTTTGTTACTGTTAGTTACTGTTAGTTCATCAAAAATATAGGGACAGAGTTTCCCTTCGGTTGGATTGTTATCGAATTAGCAACATATAGAGCCATATGATGTGATCCTGTGATCCTGCACGCGCGCAAATTTCGTATCCTCTTCCCAGTTGGATTGTTATCGAATTAGCAACATATAGAGCCATATGATGTGATCCTGTGATCCTGCACGCGCGCAAATTTCGTATCCTAATATCTTCCCAGTATCCATCTATCCATCAGTTGTCCTTCCATCTTGTTGTTTATTATCCCCCCATCTCTTCGTCTGTGTCATTGTGCAACATGAACCCACATGCCAACATGACGTCCGATGCATACCTTGGACATCCTGGGATCGGTTTGTGGACCTTTCAACATCTTTCAACTCGGGAATGTCCCAGGTGCGAGCAACACACCTGCCGGCTCTGTGAGGGACCATGTCCTGAAGGCATTCCATTGGGCAGTGAATGTTGTAGGTAGTGTAGGCCCTCAGTGCTACCGGTCAGAACAGGTTGCAGTTGCGCTTAGGCGTTGCAAGGGGGTCATAGGCCCATGGGAGCCACTGCCAATTAGCAGGATGATGGTTGTTGCAAATGTCGCCAAGTGAGTCGCTGTCAACAATACTCCGACGCATCAGGAGCTTCGGTGCAATCCAAATGCCGATGTGAAGGCGTTGGCAAAGTCCTTGAACAAGCTGGGTCAGGCTGGTATCATGTTTGGTCCTCGGTCACCTCTGGGATGATGTTTGACGATGAGATTGTTTTTCTTTACAAAGATGTGGTCTTAACATGTCTTAATAGAGTTGAACACCCCTACCCTACCAAGATTGAGCAGACGAAGATTTAAAACAAGAAAAACCAAACAACTCACAACATTTCAGCATCACAAACCCTCATGAACTGTTCCTCGGTATTCCAGCTTGAAACCATCTTTGTTTTTGGTCAAGCCATTTGCAACCATATTGTTCATATATTGTTCATAAGCGCATCGGAGCGTCCTGCAGCCTGCAGTCGCCCGCAGTTGACCCGTGGGGCCGACTTCACAGCCCTCATCGCGGCCTGTCGGCGCCAAAGCAGCTGGAGACAGGCCATTGGTTTCCTGCAGCAGATCTTCGACAGCAGCTTAGGCTGTGAAGGATGGGGTCTGCCCATGGGAATGCGGATGGATGGATGGATGGATGGATGGATGGATGGATGGATGGATGGATGGATGGATGGATGGATGGAGAGATCAGAATATATATATATATATTATACATATATGTGTGCTGTCGAATTGCGCTTGTTCTAGGATGTTTACATCTTGAACAAATGGAGAAACAATGCAAACAAAAATGGATTTGGAACATGCAAATCTGAAAGAGGCACACATGACAATTGCAGAAAAAATGGGAAAGCAAAATGCAAGTTGAAAAGAGGCAAACATTGCAAATGGAGGAAAAATAGAAAGAGCAAATGCAACTTGAAAAGGGGCACATTTGACAAATGAAGAACACATGGAAGGAACCAATGCAAGTTGCAAGGAGGCAACATGATATGTGGAGAATATAGACAGATGAAATGCAGCCAGGGACAAGGGAAAATGCCAAATGCAGCACACATGGAAACAACAAATTAACCAGGACAAGGTAGTAAAACCTGCGCAGAAGACAAAAGGAAACATTCAACTTGAAAAGTGAGGTCCGAGGCGAACCCGTGAAGCCGAAGAAGAACGTGCAATGTTGAGGCTCACGCCTGACAGGTGGCCAGCCGAAAGGGTTGGTCCCCGATCCGAATTGGGACTTCCAAAACTGGATACTTTTTGAAAGAAATCGCAAAAAAATGAGGTAAAAAACAAAAAAACACAAAATAAAAGAAAAAAAACAAAAACAACAACAAAAAAAAAGCAAAGAAAAAACAAAACAAATGGGCCCTCGGGAGGGTCATCCCCAGGGAAATGGGACCCCACTTTCCCAAAAAGCAGCGTTTGGGACTTGGGCTGGGGGGCTGTGCCAACCACCGACCCTTTCCTGAAAATCTATGTGCCCATTCAAGTGTTGATACGGGGACAGAAACCCAAACCGAACTGAAACTCATTCTTGCACATATTGCATGTGAGGCGAATTCAAGAACCGGAATGAATGAAAACCAGGCAACCGAGACTGCATATCCTGCACACTCCCTAAATGTGAATCAAGCGGGTGTCCAAAAACATTTTCGGCATTTGCGTTTTTGAACTTATAGTCTAGTTGTACTTTTTTGAATTGTATTTGTTTTACATTGCGTTTTTGCATTTGCATTTTTTGTGCATTTGTGATTTCCTTTTTGTTGATTGTTCTTTCTGCAGTTGCTTTTTATTTGCATTTTTTAGATCCATTTTTTTGCATTACATGCTGCATTTTTTCAAGATTCCAATTTTCTAAGATAAGCCCACAAGGCGCCGACACACACACACATATATACTTACTTCTTATTATATTATATCATCATATATGCCGCGGCTATGGCTATAACCAATGAATATGCGCATATATTTACATAGAACCTATAGACTACATCAACCAACTATCATCAATCAACTACAGTATGTAGCTATGTAGGTGTGCACGCCCGTGATTTTAAATTATGTTTTTGAGTTTCACCAGCCCGCTAGTAGAAAAGGATGAATCTTGGCCCATCTCCAGGGACAGATGGTACCCCAACTGTTGCCAACCGGCTAGGGATGGCATCCTTGTTACTGGTGATGCCTAGACTCACTTTTTTTTCGTTAACTGGAACCTTTTGCCTTGTGCCTGGGATTCAAGAAGCCAAGGTCGGATCAGCGCTGGAGTGCAAACGCACAGTGCTGTCATCAGCGCGTGTGAGCATGCATCGCAATGGCAACAGGCCTTGATGCATTTTGAGAAGCTGGAGAGGAGCTTTTGGGTGAGGATTTGAGATGATATCTACGTGCGGGCTGAGTTGTTTTTACCCCGGTCGCTGTATGGAGGACCGGTGAGTGTGAGCTGGATGTGATCATTTTCAGTGCTGCAATCTCAGCGTGTGAAAAATCCGGAAGATGGCTATTTGCTGTTCGCTTACTCCGGTCCATGCAGCAGAGACGAGTATCGCCGAACGAGGCAAAGTTCTCGGATGACACAGCTGTGGTTCTTTCACCATTGTGTTCGGCATTCATGAGACACATGCCAGAACAATTCATATAGATGGGTCCTATCCAAGTGCAGGTTTGGCCACCTGGTGGTATATTTGAAAAACATACGGGCCATAGCTTCAATCAGTGCATAGGGCATGTCTTACTAATCTCACTGGTGTCATTTGTAGTGGCTTCGCAACTTCTTGAGGTGACCGTGGGTGCTACAGTGGCAGCATGCGAGAAAGCCGGGGAGTGGAAAGCTGCAGTGTATCTGGTGGCTGCGGCTCGAGAATCAGGTCTTAGAACCAGTATCTTGACTCATCTTGACTCCTTATGCTTCAGATGGTGATTCAACCTGCAAAGCTAAGGTCGTCAGCCAACAAGGGGGGTGGTGTTCACCACAGGTGTGCGTTTTACCAACAACATGGGCAACATCGCCAATGAAAGACCATTTGCAGCCCCTGGAATCATAGGGTCGAATCATTTCAGTTAAAGCTGCTCTTCTCAAAAAGATGTCAAATGCCAGTTCGGCCAGGAAACAATCCCCTGTCCCTCTATGCTGGTTGATTAGTAGATGTTAATGGGTGTCCCCAACAATGAATCACAGTCCCGACATGAAACTATACTTATATATCCCCATATTATCAGGCATTCTATCTGACTTCTGTCAATCATTCAAATACCATCCTCAAAATCGTGGTTTGATATTGGATTCACATGGATTGACAATGATCCATTCATTTTAGGTCCCCCAAAATTGGGGCTATTTGATGGATGATAGGGGATATGGTGGCAAGGCCTGTTGACCTTCAGCTCGTGCCTGAGCGCTTGCGAGAAAACCACTGTCTGGCGAGCTGCCGCCTTCTTGGCTGCCAGCTTATGGCGCGCGGGCATGCGCTTGGACGCCTGGGGATGGGGCATGGATGGGATGGAAGGAATTGATATGTGATTTTTATCTATTTATATATATATAAATGCATACAGCATGCGTGCGTGTATGTCATTATGTATACAGATGTGTATATAAACAATTGCGATAATATGTGGTCCTATCTGACAATATCAACTGATACTGTCACATGGCCAATTTAGCAACCTGCGAAATCTATATTCAGAGAATATACGCTCACGGGTGATTGCTTCGGTTGAGACGCAGAAAGAAGTCTAAAGTGTTAACAATTTGGGGTGTGCCAACAAGCACGGGATAAGGATGCATCATACGTAACAGACGCAAGAACATATGAACTATATATATATAACTCATACGTACAGGGGAGACTTGATTCACAATTAACCGTATCCATAAGGCAAAACGTGACTTACCAGACCAGTTGTTACTGGGATGAACAGCCAGGTCAGTTGTTGGTGCATCGATGACTCTATAGATTATGCAACATGTTGGAAACAAATGTTTTGTTGATGCCATGTTGATTTTCAAACGTAACGGCATATGATGCAGTTGCTACTCGTATGCCATGATCCCAATTTGTGAGGTTGACAATGGCAGACATGTAATAATGCACTCAGGTTGGCCAACTCAGGTTGCATCGGTTGCATGTTGTCCGGCTTTACTCCACTGAGGATGTTGTTGCTTTCAGTGCAGAGCTTTCATGCAACGAAAAAGCCAATCGATGGCAGCACGCTTTCAACATCCTTTACAGGACCGGCTGCGCAAGTCGACTAGCACATACCCTCAAGAAGACATGAATATGTTGATTTGCATTGACTCCTCGGTTCACCCAAAATTGGCAGTTTACAGTACGTTTTGAAAGCATCTGGCCAACCAGTAGCTGCAAATGAGATTCGAGCTCTTGCAAAAGATCTATTCTGCTGAAATCTGGGCTTGCAACATCATGCAACCCCACTCAAGAGTGGCAAAATATACATTAATAGAATTCAATAGACATTATAACCAGGTCACACAAGTAGATGTGTCCGGTCACACAAGTAGATGTGTTGGTGCTATCAGGCTATCTGGCTGTTTTTTGTCCGATTTGGCGGCTCAAAGGATGTCAGGCAGCGGGGTATCTCCAAGCATCATCAGCTTCAACGCAGCTGTGAGCAGCTGCGAGTCCACAGGGCAATGGCAACATGCCGTTGGGATTTTGGGCACCAGGCTGGGCCATGCACTTGCGGGACATGTCCATTCATCTCATTGGATTTTGAAGATCGAAGCAATGGTTGGAGATGTAAGGATCTAAGGATCCTGATGATGATCCTGATGATGATCCTGATGATGATCCTGATGATGATCCTGATGATGATCCTGATGATGATCCTGCCTGATTTTGGCCGGAACAGCTATCTTGAAACGAGGTGCCTCCATACCGCCAGAGATGTGGTATCCTTCACCGCTGCAGTTAGCAGTAGTGGCGCCAGTGGAAAGTGGGCGACAGCCTTGGGGCTTTATGGGGACATGTGCGTTGCCGCTGTGCTGGCCAATGTGATCATGTGCAACTCCCTGATGTCGGTGGCTCGTTTCTGAAATCGTGGAATCCATTTGGGTGGAAGATGGTGCTACTACTAGCCCTAGGTTTAAGTCCTATCTCAACGTGAAAAGTCGTATTGGGAGGTAGCGCGCCTGGAAAAAGGGTAACATTTGGTATTACCACGACTTTCAGTTATCATTGTTTTAAGGGGGAGCACTGCAAGATACTGCAAGAAAGCTTTAGGCCGTACAATACCAATGGGATTTGGTTTCGCAATAGATTAACATAGCCATGGCAGTGGGATTTGCTGCCAAGTATCCATTGTATGGTATTTAATAATTTAGTCCTTCAAAATCATCGCAGTACGCAGTGCTTGGGCCACGTTTTATACCTAACATTCCAGCGCGAACATGCAGTGCTAAGCAATTGACAGAAAGCCGATAAGCGTTGTAACATATGTTGTAACACAACATCAATGAGATTCCTTGCCTTTCAACCTGCACATGAGAAGCCGAGTTCAGGGGATTGACCATGTCGCTATATCTAATTCCTTCTGGAAGCACCATACTTAAACATCTTAAATTCACATCCCCCGTGGCGCAGCGTCAACATTTCCCTTGCTATGTGAGTTTGGCCCATCGAAGGTCAGAATCCGGGGCACGCCCCAAGAGGAACACTTTCTTACGTCCAGCTCAATTGCGTGCGAGATTTAAATATAGGTTTGGAAAACGAACAAGCACACACAGATACATGAATGAAATGAAATGGAATGGAATGGAACGGAATGAATGAACGAATGAATGAATGAAGAAACGAATGAATGACTGCAATGAATAAATGACTTGTATATTAGTGTTTTATTTCTTCTTCTGGTTATTGTGAGTAATTAGTATTGATTAGTTTATTTACTAGTTTATGCTAGCGGGTGGAAAACCGCGCGTGTAGACGTGCTACGTTTTGAATATGTGGGTTGGGTGGGGTGGGGTGGGATATTAACGTTCAAGTACCTTGCGTACATACGTGGATGCTACGCTGCTGCTACGTCACTGGTCAGGGGTTGGGTGGGGTGGGGTGGGATATTAACGTTCATGTACCTTGCGTACATACGTGGATGCTACGCTGCTGCTACGTCACTGGTCAGGGGTTGGGTGGGGTGGGGTGGGATATTAACGTTCATGTACCTTGCGTACATACGTGGATGCTACGCTGCTGCTACGTCACTGGTCAGGGGTTGGGTGGGGTGGGGTGGGATATTAACGTTCATGTACCTTGCGTACATACGTGGATGCTACGCTGCTGCTACGTCACTGGTCAGGGGTGGGGTGGGATATTAACGTTCATGTACTTGCGTACATACGTGGATGCTACGCTGCTGCTACGTCACTGGTCAGGGGTTGGGTGGGGTGGGGTGGGATATTAACGTTCATGTACCTTGCGTACATACGTGGATGCTACGCTGCTGCTACGTCACTGGTCAGGGGTTGGGTGGGGTGGGGTGGGATATTAACGTTCATGTACCTTGCGTACATACGTGGATGCTACGCTGCTGCTACGTCACTGGTCAGGGGTTGGGGGGGTGGGGTGGGATATTAACGTTCATGTACCTTGCGTACATACGTGGATGCTACGCTGCTGCTACGTCACTGGTCAGGGGTTGGGTGGGGTGGGGTGGGATATTAACGTTCATGTACCTTGCGTACATACGTGGATGCTACGCTGCTGCTACGTCACTGGTCAGGGGGTGGGTGGGGTGGGGTGGGATATTAACGTTCATGTACCTTGCGTACATACGTGGATGCTGCGCTGCTGCTACCCTAAACTGACCTCTGAACACAATCTGCTTCATGAAACTTGCAATCATAGTAAGGGCATTTTCTGCATCACCAAGAAAAAGGAATGGGGAAACTTGCTAGTGCACACCGGTGGCATCGATGGAATGTGGAAAATTTCCAGAGGTGCAGTATCATCCTCTTGGAGCACACGTAAAGATGGTGCTGTGAACCCTCAATTGCTTCAAGGAATAAGGATTTGGCAATGGCGATGGCACCATGGAAATTCCACTGACTTCCTCAGTCTCACCGGCCGCGCTCTGAGCAAACGCTTGGAGAAGTGACACGCCAGCGAAGAACAAGGAAAAGGCTTCCAGGCCGCCACAACCACAAAACCCTGTAAATACCACGACATTCCTTCAAAGTCATTCAATTTTCCCTGGGAAAATTTAAGCTAATGTTCATCATAAAATGTGTACGGCGCCACAGCGCCAGAAGAGTTTCTTTTCAAAAAGTGTTCAACTGCTAGCGCGGTTTCCCACCCGCCGGGTAGTTTATGTTTGCTTTTTGCATACATGCGAACATACACTGATACAAAGTTTGCTCGTGAGGCCTGCGAAGAATCTGGGCATTGGGAGACTGCCCTGGAAGTCTTCAACTTCAGCCCATTCCCATCCACCGTCATCAGCATCAACGCTGGAATTGCAGCAGGTGGTCGAGGAGTCATCCCATCACGATGGCATGTTTGTCGCCCACTCGAAACATCACCTTTTGTATTTTTTGGGTCCCCCTTAGGACGGGCAATGTTTGCAAAGGGAAGTATCAGGAACTGCATGTTGACCATGATTTTGGTTGTATTTTTTGACCAATGACCAATGATGATTGGTGTTGTTTTTATTTTTTTTAACCAACGGCTCCTGCAGGAAACCGCTGGCAGTTCGCAGCACATTTGCTGGAATCCTTGGTTGGGCCCAGCCACACAGAGCAAGCGACGGTGGTCAGTAACTGGGACGCATCCGGCCAGGTGTATGAAAAAAACGTGAACCATTGACGAGATTGGCCACCTAACGGACAAACGAAATAATTAACTAGGAATTGTGATGTGCGACCTTTTCTTTTAAAGATTTTTTAAGTGGGTTGGCGTTTCACATGTGCGAGGTTTGAACATTGTTTCGACCATGGCATGTTTTAAAGTGCAGACAAATGCTAACAATCTGTTCTATGCCGCAAGCCTCTAGGGACGTTTTGTTTATATTGAACTTAATGATTCAGTTGGTGGTTATGTGCCCTTACCACTGTCGTCCTTACCACCGCTACCACTGTTGTAACGACATTGCGATGAAAGTAACAACAGCACCATCGCCGACAGTGCGACCATAACATCCGCGGGCCATTGGAAGAAGTATTGCCACTCAGCCTTGCCTGCTAAGGTTTCAACTCAGCCTTGAGCGCCTGTGCAAGCTGCAAGCAATGGCGAGAAGTTCTGGGCATTGCCAATAACTTTGCCAGGTTCCATTTGCATCAGCATTTTGAGAACAAGAAACAGTGGAAGTCTGCAGATTTGAGGATGCTATACCCACTGATATCCACTACTTTGATAGACTTGTCACATGTATTGACTGTTTTGAGAAGTAATTAGATCATTGCTGTGTTATTTTGCAACCAAACCTGTCCGCACGAGGTGTGACTTGCGGCCGGATGCTATTTCCCTCAATTCTGTTGCTGGTGCGCTTGAACGACAAGGGCATTGGGCGTGAAACCCAGTGAGCGTTGGCAGCCAAGAACAAATCCAGGTTGATTGTGAACATAACTGTTTGGTTTTAGACATTTTCAGACCCGCTCCTGTTCCATTCCAGCTTGAGATGAATCCCCAGACCCGACGAAAACATTATATGGTGTATTATATACTGTAATATATATATATTTGTTATTCGCCTGTAAAGTTATTTAGTTGTTGTAGTCAGTGTGCCTCATTGAAGACTGCATGGCATTGCTATTCTTTTGCCCTACCCTCCCTATCATATCATATCATACCATGTCATATCATATCCCCACTAGTCATCATTATCATTTGGGATGGGTGATTCAACGTGCTCAGGCTGGTGCCTCAAGATTTCTCTACGAAGCCCAGCAATGCGGGGAACGGCTCCTGGGACCGGAGGCTCGATGGGCTTCCAACGAGACGAGCCGAATGTCGACCAAACATTGGGGACATAAGATGTCAGTGCATTGTGATTATATGTGATTATTATGGTGTACAGTACCAATTAATGCTAAGAGTATCTAATAGTAATAGTAAGAATAAACATGATAATGATGTTTTTTGATGTTTTTTGGAATTATCTACGTTAAGTATGTACAGCACGAGCAGTTGTGGAATCCTCCTGGCGAGGGTTCTGCAAGCACTGCTATTGCGTTGCTTGGTTTCGGCGTGTGACTATACGACTTCTCCGCATGGAAAACATGTGGCTTTACCAGAGAGTTGATGTGAGTAAACCTTCGAACTGTACGTAAACAGATAGACCAATAGATAAGCATATAATCATACATATACGTACAGGCATACATAATCATACATATACATTTTCACATTTTACATGGCATTACATGACATTACATGACTATAGAACCAACAAAATCTGCTGGTACCCCACCCGGCAGGCCACCACCGTCGGCGCTGCCGTTGACTCATTTGAGAGGCGCACCTCCCCATCCTCCCCGTATTGGGTGGCTTAAACATCAATTGAAATGGCTATGAAACAGCAGGTATATGCGCTTATATGCACTGAAGGGAGTAATAACATGTAATATTATGATATATTATGTACTTATGGAGGACACATTAGGAATAATGTCACTCAGCAAAGCTCTGGTTGCATCTCAGACCTCTTGCTGCGTCGGCAGGTTTGGTGGTCCTGTCGCCCGCGCGGCTGGACTCCTACGAGACATTCAAAGGGATGTGCCACGGAACTTGCAGCGAACAGCGGAAATTGGCAGCGGCAATTTCGGAACAGATTGTGATGATTGTGCAAACATGGCGCCTATACCCATGTTGATCATGTTGGCCAGTTCCAGTTTTACTGCGGTCAAACTTAATTTGGAAAGGCTACATCTCAAGCAAAAGTCACCAAGCTTTGCTGCTCTCCATGTTCAATTCCAGAGCTACACAGCTACACAGTCAATTGTCCAACAACTCCACTTCTTCGCAACTGCCAACGTGGCTCCAAGTGCTTAAGAAAGGCATGGGAGCCATATGCTATTTCTGCAATGCAGGCAGCAGCTGCTACAGGATCTAGCCCAGTGCGACTGGTCCGTACCGTTATTTTGACCTGAATGCTGCGCAGGCCAACCAACCACTTTTCAGGAATTGCAGGCTAGAAAGCACCTATGCCGCATTATATAATGCCTCTAATGTTAAGCTAGGAAGATTGGGACCTGCTATCACGCTGTCAAGACAATTCGATTCGGTCACAGTCTGGGTCAAAAATCAGAATCCAAAGACACGCAGCTGCCAGTTTTTTGCCAGTGAAATTGTATCTACTGCAATATGAATGAAATTGATTCTTTCTAGGGAGGTCGATGCGTAGAAAAATGGCACCCTGTGGCCATGAAGTGGTACCTGGGATGTGCCAGCCTGCTGTGTGCAGCGTCCCGCAACCTCCCAGACAAGAATGAGTTGGCCAATGCGCGCCTTGACAGCCCGGGGCACCCCAGAATTGGGAAGTTGGGGTGAACTCCGGCTGCTACAGTGACCATTGGATTGTACCTTGGATGTCATTGACCAATGTCTTGGGCATTTTAGGCCTGTTTGGAAGGCCTAGAAAATTGACCTCTGACCATTCTGACCATTCTGACCTCCAGGTGCTACTTCACCTACAAGGTTGGATATGTTATTTGCGATACCAGTTTGGGCCCTGAAGCTGCCCAGAGGGAGATGGAGGTGGGAGTCGCATGAGTCGCCTTTCACACGGAAATCTGTGGAATTTGCAACGGGGAAGGCCTCAATTTCGCGCGTTTGATACCGTATGTCAGGCCATGTCAGGCCTCAATTCATGATTGTTCCAGGCTGGGCGGTGCAATCAGGATTTCCGATTGACTGGTTCGGACTTCCAACGACTGGTGCTGAAGCACTACGTGGAAGGACAGCTGTTTGTGGATTTGTTCCAGGCTGTTTACAAATACTGGGTGCAGTGCTGCAAGAGATGGAGAAAGTTGGGTTCATCCACGATGCACAGATGAATTTGGCAAATCAAAACGCAGCTAATCAATCATAGAAGTTGTGAACTGTAATTATAGAGCGCGCAGAGAAATGATAGGAAGGGTCATGTGGCGGTTGAATTGTTGACGCCCTGTGCGGGTGTATATTGAAACATTCTGAAATATTAGCTATGCAGGCTATCGTGTGGTTATGGGGGGGCTAAAGAGCCACGGGTACCTATATTCCCCATTGAATGGGGAGCCAAGGAGCTACTAAGATTGCCCCAACCACATGATACCTGTGGTTGGAGGTACTTGGTATATGTTGTCTGCGCGCTACCAGCATTGCCACTGTCGACCAGGAGGCCGTCCGCCCCTGGAAGAAGCGATGTGGCTCCTATCATCGTCTGAGAACTTCCAGTCACGTACGCTTTCAGAATGCCCACCCATGCAAATTCTGGCGGCTTGGAATTGTATTCGTGACTTTTTATGTTGTTTCAAGTGGGGTCAAAGAGTTGGTTGAAGTAGAAACCATTCAAGAACAATGGTAATTAGTACGGGTGTGAATTCGAAAAAATTGGCATCAAGATCGCAAGGCAAGCAGGCAATTATGTCCTGGCTCTGAATGATGACATTTTCGCTTGCTGCTCCCTTTCGACCTGCAGCCAAGTCCTTGATGAAATAAACTGAATGAGATTGCTACGTAGTTGTGACAAGTTTTATGGTGTGTAATGACGTGTATCCATGCGTCAGCATCCTGGTCCGTGTTTTCATGAACCACGTCTAATTTTTATGCAAATTATCTAGCGATTCCCACTACAAAGCGTCATGAATCACCAAACATTAGCGGTCTTCAGGGCCTTTAATTTTGGACCTCCCACCTTCCCATTCTTCGTCTATTAAATCCCATTGGATCCAAGGCCAACGTCCTCTACGCAGAGGCTCTGCTGTTCCTGGATGGCGCGTCCAGGACGGGGGAGTCGGCGCTGCTGATGGCGCAAGCGCTGGAGCAAACGCGGCAGGTGCAGATGGAGGTCCTGAACGCCTTGACTAAAACCTGGCCCTTGGAGCTGGCATCGCAACGCTTTCAGGAGAAAAAATGATAGGGTTGGATCATGTTGGATCATTCTGGATATGTCAGATATATCACAGGGCTGAGGTGGAAGTGGTGTTCACACTTGGGCCAAGATAGGAACATGTCCTAAAACTGGCTGCGTGTTTTGAATTGTTTTGACATCGCTCGTTGCACTAGATGGGTGGGAAATACTCGCCCCGAGTTTGGAACGCCAGGTTTTAGGCTTTACTCTAGACAGAACATACTTGTATCACTAATCGAGTTTGACTTCAACAGTGTGACATATCATGCTCTTTAGCATGGCTTCGAGAGTGGAAGTTAAAACATGGATGTTCCGGCATGTTTTCTGTTTGATGGTCACAGGAAACCTTCCTGACACTGGACGCAGTGGCGAAAGCGACGCCCTCGTCCGAAATTCACGTTGCCCTGTGCCGATGTTCTGAGAGCTTGGAGTGGTTGGTTCCTTTTGTTGAAGAGATGGATCCACAGCAAGGCATCGAGGCAGTCCTTTATTTATATGAGACTTGTGGACGAGAAGAGGGCCTAAGGGAGTTCGAAGATGCGCTATTTGGCAAGGTGCAGTGGAAGGCACTTGAAGGCGTCCCAGGGCGACCAAAATCAAACTCCGACTGTCAAGCGCAGACTGTGCTAAGCCACTTGCTGGGCTACGGTGATGGCAGTCTGGCTGTGCCGAAGTTTTTGCTGTTTCTGCCTGCAGCTCCCCCAGAAGCGGAACAACAGTTCTACAGCTTGGTGTTCAAAAGCCTAGCCAGCAAAACGTTGTCCGTTGATTTCATGGCCTTGGGATCCACAAGATCTCCACCCATCGCCTTGAATGAATGTCAGAAAAGCCTCATCCAAGCACAAGTGCTGAAGATTCACAATTATCCACTTGGATATGAGGGGCCTCGCTTTCTGATCAGTTCTGCAAGGTTGCTGGAGTCACTGGAGCGGGTCCAATCACTGATCCAGGCTTTTGAACAGCCATCGCCTAGTTGTGCCTCTCACTTGGAAACTGCAGTAGCGAACTGGTGGCACATGGTGTTTGGAGAAGGAGAACAGCTGCCGATAAGGGCAGATGACGATCGCTTGCCTGTGTTTGCACGCATGGCCGACGGTCCATCTGGATTCTCGAGGACAAGGATGCCCAAATCCTCAGACTATTTGAGTTGGGCTGCGATTGGACTCGATGGCTCGTGACTCTCAATGAACAATTTACCTGGAATCTCAAAAAATAATTTATCCATATTTATCCTACCAAAATATTTATTAAATTATATATATATATATTTCAAATACATCAAAATAATAAAATTATATATATATATACTAGACGACGGATGGCCCGAGAGCGTAGAGGAGCAGAGTCTTCTGTTGTTAGTATGGAGACACTATATTACAAGATAATATATTAAAGATGTATTATAGGCAGACGAGAAGAGTAGTATCAAGACAATATATGACTAGTACAAGACAATAGTTTGCATCGTATTTTTGTAAAGTTTTTCATACACAGAACTTTTTACAGACAAACGCTTTTGCACACAGAGACTTTTACACACAGAGACTTTTACACACAGAGACTTTTACACACAGACGCTTTTACACACAGACGCTTTTACACACAGAGGCTTTTACACACAGAGACTTTTACACACAACCACTTTTACACACAGACGCTTTTACACACAGACGCTTTTACACACAGACGCTTTGACACACAGACGCTTTTACACACAGACGCTTTTGCACACAGTCTTTTACACACAGACGCTTTTACACACAGACGCTTTTACACACAGACGCTTTTACACACAGACGCTTTTACACATAGGTTCTTTTACACACAGACGCTTTTACACACAGACGCTTTTACACACAGACGCTTTTACACACAGACGCTTTTACACACAGACACGTTTACACACAAACGCTTTTACACGCAGAAGCTTTTACACACAGAAGCTTTTACACACAGACGCTTTTACACACAGACGCTTTTACAGACAGAGACTTTTACACACAAACGCTTTTTACACATAGGCTCTTTTACACACAGACGCTTTTACACACAGAGCCTTTTACACACAGACGCTTTTACACACAGACGCTTTTACACACAGACGCTTTTACACACAGACACTTTTACACACAAACGCTTTTGCATTTTACACACAGAGCTTTTACACACAGACGCTTTTACACACAGACGCTTTTACACACAGACGCTTTTACACACAGACACTTTTACACACAAACGCTTTTGCACACAGACGCTTTTACACACAGACGCTTTTACACACAGAGGCTTTTACACACAGCTTTTACACACAAACACTTTTACACACACAGACGCTTTTACACACAGAAGCTTTTACACACAGAAGCTTTTACACACAGACGCTTTTACACACAGACGCTTTTACACACAGACGCTTTTACACACAAACGCTTTTTACACAAAGGCTCTTTTACACACAGACGCTTTTACACACAGACGCTTTTACACACAGACGCTTTTTACACACAGAGGCTTTTACACACAGAAGCTTTTACACACAGACGCTTTTACACACAGACCCTTTTACACACAGACGCTTTTACACACAGACGCTTTTACACACAGACGCTTTGACACACAGACGCTTTTGCACACAGACGCTTTTGCACACAGTCTTTTACACACAGACGCTTTTACACACAGACGCTTTTACACACAGACGCTTTGACACACAGACGCTTTTTGACGATCGACCTTCATTTCGTGCGAAAGGGTTGCTCCAGGACAAGTAAACTCGCAATTTTTCCTCAGTTTTTGACGATCGACCCTCATTTCGTGCGAAAGGGTTGCTCGGGGACAAGTAAACTCGTAATTTTTCCTCAGTTTTTGACGATCGACCCTCATTTCGTGCGAAAGGGTTGCTCCAGGACAAGTAAACTCGCAATTTTTCGTCAGTTTTTGACGATCGACCCTCATTTCGTGCGAAAGGGTTGCTCCAGGACAAGTAAACTCGCAATTTTTCCTCAGTTTTTGACGATCGACCCTCATTTCGTGCGAAAGGGTTGCTCCAGGACAAGTAAAATCGCAATTTTTCCTCAGTTTTTGACGATCGACCCTCATTTCGTGCGAAAGGGTTGTTTTAGCACAAGTCAAATCGCAATTTTTCCTCAGTTTTTGACGATCGACCCTCATTTCGTGCGAAAGGGTTGCTCCGGCACAAGTAAAATCGCAATTTTTCCACAGTTTTTGACGATCGACCCTCATTTCGTGCGAAAGGGTTGCTCCAGGACAAGTCAAATCGCAATTTTTCCTCAGTTTTTGCCGATCGACCCTCATTTCGTGCGAAAGGGTTGACGTTTCGTGACTCACCGCCGGCACCACCCTCGGCCTTAAGAGAGAAAGATAAAAAGAAGGCGTGAGAGAGAAAAAGGAGAGAGAAAGGAGAGAAGATGTGAAGGTGAGAAGATGTGAGAGAAGGTGTGAAAAGTTTGAGGCAAGAATGTGAAAAGAGGAAAGAGATGTGAAAGTGAAAGCAGAAATGTGAAAGAAGAAGTGTGAAAGATGAGAGAAGATGTGAAGATGAGCAGATGTGAAGATGAGCAGATGTGAGAGAAGATGTGAAGATGAGCAGATGAGAGAAGATGTGAGAGAATGAGCAGATGTGAAGATGAGCAGATGTGAGAGAAGATGTGAGAGAAGATGTGAAGATGAGCAGATGTGAAGATGAGCAGATGTGAAGATGAGCAGATGTGAAGATGAGCAGATCTTCTCCATTTTGGCTCAAGCCATTTTGGCTCAAGCCATTTTGGCTCAAGCCATTTTGGCTCAGGCCATTCTCGCTCAGGGGCTCAAGCCAACCCCTCCCCTGCCCCCTTCACCCACAACCCCCTGCGGTGACCCCCCCCCGGCTCGCGGCCCCGAGTGCGCCATCACTTTCAAGGCTGCCTCGGGCCCCAATCCCAAGCGAGGCGCGCCGCCCCCTTTTAAAGGCGCGCCCGCCCCGTACCCTTTTCGTTGTTCCCCCGAAGCTCCCATTTACCCCAACCCGGCTTTGAAAACCTTTTCACCTTCCCAACCCCTCCCCTGCCCCCTTCACCCACAACCCCCTGCGGTGACCCCCCCCCGGCTCGCGGCCCCGAGTGCGCCATCACTTTCAAGGCTGCCTCGGGCCCCAATCCCAAGCGAGGCGCGCCGCCCCCTTTAAAGGCGCGCCCGCCCCGTACCCTTTCGTCGCCCCTCGGAAGCCCCATTCCCACCTGCCCCCTTGGCGGCTGACACCCTTTACCACCCCCCCCAACAGCCCCCCACCGGGGGACCGCACATGGCGCCACTGCAGCACCTTCCGCGCCCCCATCCCAACCGCAGTTGTTTCACCCGTTCCTTTTGCTACGCGGCCGCTGCAGTCACCCTGCTGTGTGCAGGCCACCCTTTCTGGGCACCCGCTTTAACCCCAGAGCGGTCCCCCGCGACTTCGGCCAGTGAGGTTCCTCGTCCCCTCAACCGTCACGCGCGCCGCGCGCTCACCTCCATCCTCAATGACGTCTGGGCACCCAGTCCCTCCCCCCGACCCCGCACCCGGCACCAAGCCCGCTGCCCCCGCCGCCACTGCCGACCCCACCGCCACGGCCACCGCCCCCCCCAACTTCCCGCCAGCTCCCAGGCAGCAACTGCGCCAGCCCACGATGGTCCGGGTGGCCGCTTCGCGCACACCGGGTCGGCGAAGCTGCCAACCCCGGCCCCCCTTCCCCACCACCCCCTGCCCCCGAACCCCACCCCACCCAACACACGTTCGCAGACACCATCCTGCTTAGCGATTCCGACGAGGCCCCCGCACCTCCCCCAGGCCCCTGCGCAGTTTGCTTAGAGCCCTTTGCCCCTGCTTGCCCCCGACGCCGGCGACCCATCGCCTGGCCCACCTGCGGCCACTGCTACCATTTCTCATGCTTAGCAAGGCTCAGAGCACAAGTACAGCCCCCCCGCTGTGCTCAATGCAGGTCCCCGTGGCCTGAGGGCCCGGAACATGACGACACACTGTCACGCTTGTGCGGCACTGTTGGTGTGAACCCGTTCCGCGACTCCGAAGCGGAGACCCCCGGCCCCACCCCACCACCCACCCGCCCCGCTTGGCGCGACCGCGCGCCACCCACCGCGCCAATCACCGCCAGCACAAACTCCTGGCTCTACGTCCCCCTCCTCTGGGCCGCGGCCGGCCTCCAAACCCAAGCTGCCGCACAAGCCTGGCAAACCCAGTGCGGCGAGTGGTGGACCCTAGCCCGTGACACCCTCGCCGACGCCCCCCCAGTCGATTTGGAAGCTTTCCGCACGGCACTCAACCTTACCCCGTCCGCCGGAGCCGCCGAACAACTTGCCCGGCTCACCGCCGCCGGACCCTTTCCCGCCGGAGCCCATGCTTACCTGCGGTGGCTTCTCCAAATCCTGGCGGACGCGGACGGGTACATCCCGGCGGCTTCCCAAGAAACCTGCTTGCAACTTTATGGCGGGCTACCCTTCGCCGCTGCACTCGACCGCCAAGCCAACCTCTTCCGCGCGCCGCCCACCCCCGACCCCGCACCCGCACCCGCCTTCACCACCGCCATCCCCTCACCTTCCATCCCCCCCACCCCCACCGACCTGCCGAAGCACCCGCGGCCGCGGACGCGGCCGTGGCAATCGCCCTGCTTCCCCCCCACCCCTCCCCATGACCGATACTGAGATCGACGCACCTACCCAGGCCCCCAGACCTGCACCACCCACAGGCCTATCTTGTCTTGACGCTGTTGATCTGTGCGCCACGCTCCGCATCCGCACCCCCACCTTCCAATCAGTCCCCCGGCGGCTCCTGCCAACTTATAAACACGCCCTTCGCATGGCGCTTGACGCCATCAACTCCCCCACATCCAACCCTGTCGACACCGAACGCGGGTGGAAACTGTTCCTACTCGCTCCACGCCTCCTCCTGCACCGCCCCACCCACCAAACCCTTGCCACCCCTGAGGAACTTGACCGGCGGGCGGCCCTCTTCCGAACCGGCGAGTGGCTCCAACTCCTCCACGAGTCCTCACCCGCCCCACGCCGCACACACCCGACCCCCTCCCCCAACTCACCCACGGACAGCGCGCGAGCCCAACGGGCCATGACCCTGGTCCAACAAGGCGAGCTGTCTGCCGCCAGTGCCGCCCTCACCGCGTCCCCGCTGGCT